ACATAATATTTTATTTCACTTTACTGGTAGTAAGCATTTTGCTCTGTATTTTTATTATCTGCATATTCTCAATGTCAAAAAAGTGTACAATATTGGTGATATATTTTATTATGAAAATATTTATGTAGAAATGAACCAATTATTCACAGCAATTTAACTATTTCAGTGAAGGAAAAAAAACCCATAAGTTTCTCAATTTATGTTGCTATGGTAACCTAGAAACGGCAAGAAACAATTTTATAGTACATGTACATAGAATATGACAAATTTGGATATATGTGTATTAGATAACACTGTGGTGATATAGATGTGGTGATTTTATCTATAACTGCCCTTGCATGTCCCAATGTTGAGATAAACACAGTATGCATCTTGATAACCAAATGTTTGTGGTGGAAAACGTGGGGAAGCTAGGGGGCCATATTCTTGTCATCATGATGATGATGATTCATATACTATTTTAGGAGGACAGAAGAAAAACTCTAAAAACTAAGTGTTTGCTTCACTAGAAGATCTATACATGAAACAGATGTCATTATTAGGATGGACCACTCTGAATACATTGCGACAACACTTTATGGCTTACAAAAACTTTTAGTGATTGAGGATTTGAAGCAAAATGAGAAAATATGGAACACAGATAAGCTAACTGTCTGACATTTTGTCAAAGATCAATCAATCAATCATACCAATCTTTTCTTGATTGGTCCTTTAAGTACCATGCAATCACGGTTTTATAGCTATTTCTTTTTTTCAACTCCTGTTGTGTATCCATGAAGTAAATACATAAAAAGACTAGTAGAACTTAATGACTGCTTACAGCGCGTCAGATTTCCTTTAATATAAATCTTCGCTCTTGTTTATTGAACTGTATTGTTTGTACGAGACAGATTGAGATTACGAAATGCAATCTGTTAAACAAACACAAAGTCTGGCATTCCTGCAAAAGTATTTTGTTTCAAGTAGTTTGGCAAGTATTTCATTAAAATGCATTGATTTATATGACAATTCTAAGCTTATCCGGTAATATTAAACTAAAAATAATCTCAGTCTCAGAAATGAACTTAAAAACTACCTAAATTAATATTTTAAACAGGATTATATATTTTGAAAAGATTATCAGATTATCTTGAATAATATATTATGTGGACCAAATTTCAAAGATCGGATATCCAACATCTTGAGTTCTTGGGATGTAAAACTATTTTGTCGTTTTCTTGCTGTTACAGTATCGCAAATACACATATGTACTCAAAATTTTTATGATTGAATTTGGTTTGCATAAACATGAAGCAAAGTTTAGGTTTTCAGTTTTCAGAATTATCTGATGAAAGTTTGTAAACTGACTATATATATGTATTATGAATATCACCTGAATTTCCTAATGTTGTCAATGGGGATGGGCAGTGGGGAAGCCGGGGGAATCAGTATATACAGGGAAATATTTGTCGGACTGACTGCCATTTTACTTAATTGGGTTGACAGGTGAATGTCATATTTTTAGCTCCGCTGTCATTGTTTGTCCATCTTCGTTTGTCAACAATTGTCATTTTTCAACTTCTTGAAAGCTATCAGCTCAATTGTTTTAAATTAATACTTTGAATGGAGGTAAATTTGTGGACCTCTGTCAGATTCGTTCATTTCATGACGCTAACTTTGATTCTCTATTTTTGGCAAATATTTTTGTAATTTTTGGTAAAAAATATTTTCAAATTGCTCTTGTACATTATTTTTCTGAACAGTTTGTTTGATGAGGCTAAGTTGACATGTTTTCAACAGTCAGAACCAAACTACCGTACATGTACTTTTTTGTCTAATGGGTGTGCATTGCTTGGCTTGGCTACCACAATGTTCTTGTAGAACAGTGAAGCTATTTCAACAGTCAGGTCACTTGTTTTTAAGATTACCAGTAAAACCGCCCATCTGTTCGTGCATCTGTACGACCGTCGTCATTTCCCAGAGATGACTGGACAGATTTTCTTCAAAGCTGGTACAAAGACAATTTGTAATGAGAGACATGGGCATATCGATTTATTTTTTCTTTGGGTTGCCGACTGGCGGCCATTTTTGTCCCCAAAAACCAACAAAAATCAACATTTGGACATGTCATTAACCGTTTCTCAGACATGCTTTGATCGATTTATTTCAAACTTGGCATTAACATCAGTCAGTCATGGTGGGTGATTTGTTTCAAAATGGCGGACTGGTGGTAATTTTTTTTTTCAAAGTTGGTACATCACAAGTCGTGATACATGTGAATATCGCTTTGCTTTATTTCGTTAACCTTCAACTGCAAATGCAAATTTTACCATTTTTCTAGACACATTTGTTTCTCGAAAAATTTTCCATTGACTCCATCATTTTTTTAATTGTGTATTGACATTGGTATACATAACCTATGTAGAGTACTGCAAGAATGAATAGATTAAAGATTGAATTTATTTAGTTTTTTAGCACTTAGCATATGTACACTCGTTTGCACAATCATATGTGCAAAAAATGGTGTGGTTTTTAGATGCATACTTGTATTCAAATTTATAACACCTGTAACATTGCAGTCTCTATTTACGTCTTCATTCCTTTCAATACCTCGCTAAAAGGCATGCATGTTAGAAGTGTTGAGTCATTACAAATACGCAAAGCTAACAAAGATTACAGATCAAACTGAGGTTCTCTGTTGCTTTGATTTAGAAATGTCATCTGTGTCATTGCAGGATTTCAAACTACTCCATATCTCATATATACTGCATGTGAGATTGCTTTTGTGTCTGCAAACAACTCGCTACTTTGACTCTAAGATAAGGCATACAAAAGAATTCTATTTCT